TTGCCATGTTGGAATTCAAGCAATAAAAGCGAGCTGACTCCTAAAAAACCCCTCCTTCCTCTCTGTGAGTCCCAGCACACTTCCAAAACAGCAGACTGTTTATTACAGAGTGACTTCCCCATCGTTCTTTTATGCTTACCTTTTTAAAGAAACAAGGCCTGGCAAAAGAATGGAGTCTAAGATCTGGTGACAAAACATTCAAGAACCCAAACAATTATTTTCTTGGTTTTATCAATGACAGATAACATAACTTGTAACATTTTACAGTTTTCTCTTTTTTACACACGCACCCATACAGACGTACAGACCTGTAGATAGAGGCTCAAACTTATGTAAATCATTGTACCTCGCCTATGTCATTTGTTTCTGATAACATAAACTTGTTTATAAGAAGCATCCGATATGATAAAAACAGAACATACAATGAGATAAGAAGGCTGGGAAATGTTCCATAATTATCAGAACAATAGCCATGGGTAACAGCGAGAGAAAGTTTAAAATTTTTTACTTTATGAAACAAGAGATGACACCATTGACAAGGCAGACAAATGTGCAGAGATGGTGGAGTGATGGCTGCCACGTAGCGACTCTCCAAGAGCAGCTAGGTGGCTTGCTCAAGGGCATCTCAGCAAAATTGCCCCTGTTAGTTTGAATTTATTGTAATTATCTTTTTGGATTTTTATCAATCAGTGACGCATTAATGTGTAAGAAACATTTCAATTTTAATGTTTTATTTAGCAGGTTGACTCAGAGTTAATTTTACTTAATGTAGTGGGAGATACTATAATTCACTTTGAAATGTAATAGAGTAAAAGTTCAAAGTGCAAAATGGAAATACCCAAGTTCAAGTATGTCAAAATTGTACTTAAGTATAATTTTTTATAATCATTTAAGTGACTTTTAATGCAAAGATGCCAAACATTTCTTGGCTCCATCTTGTCAAATGTGAAAGTATTTGGTCTTCACCCTACATTTGTTTCATGGTTAAAATGAATGTATAAAAACCATTAGCTCAAGTGAGAGTCAACGGTACTCTATAAAGACAATTTCATATTCATAAGGGGACCAGACAAGGGGACCCACTGTCTGCACTCAAGGGAGTAAAAGGCCAGAAATGCCATAAACCGACACTTTCTGCGGACAATGTTATTTTATATCTCACCTCTCCTGAACTCTCATTTACAGAACTAATGAAAACAATAAAATGATATAGTGATCATCCAGCGTATAAAGTTAATTAATTAAATTAAATGTGAGTATGTGTATAGGAAAGCAACTGACAGATGACTCTAAAGGAAATCTCAGATTTAAGCAGAACCAAAGTACAATAAAATATATGAGACTAATTATCAGAAACTAGAGAACAGACTTAAACAAGATTACCCATCTCAGTCTTCAGTGGAATAGACACAGTATTCTTCCTCTTTCAGACCCTACCGATTTCAATTACCCCACAAAAGGTAAAAGTGTCACTTTGGTCTGTGGGTAATTGTGACGACACTTCTCACTATTTCAGAATTTGTGAAATCTTTGTGGAAATCACCTCCAATAACAACCAACAATAACCGTCAAATCCTGCTTTTACATGACTAATAATAACAGTCACAGGGGGCATTTTCCCACATTGGGTACTTTCACTGCTACTGTATTTTAATTTTGCAACACAGAACTTTGACATTCTCCTGTCACTAAAGGCGCCCCGTCCTTACCTGTTGCCATGGTGAACGGTCACTTGTTGCCTCGGTTACTACCTCTCGACGCTGATTGGACGGAACTCTTCACATCTGTGGGTCACGTTTAACGTGCGTTTGTTTGTTAAACTAACTTTCTGGAGCGGACCTTCGGGCCACGTGCCAGCTTACACTGGCCAATCAGAAGCGAGAAGAGCCGTCGGAGCACATTTAAAGTTCGTCAAAGTGAAAGCGATGCTCTCACTGGGAGTGTCCTCCCCGACCCTGTGTCAGTGTTTGTTCAAGGTTTTGGCTCTTGGTCTGCGCTGTATTATTAGAGCTACGGGTTACGCTTAAATGGCTTAAAACAATCCTTGCTATTTATATCTGCGGAGAGTTTCGTCTTTCCTCTGACTGGTTGAACGCTGCGGAATCTGAAACAAGAAGCGCTAAAAAAAAAAAAAAAATGCATTTTCTTGGCATTCTTGTGCTAATGCTGTGCGACCTAACGCTGGGGTTTCCTGCTCCAATAGGTAAGAAGCTTGTCTCTTTGCATTGCATGACCTTCTGTTCACCTGCTAATACATTACAGCAGGTTAAAAGAAAAGGAAGTTAAGTCAATGACAACACTTGACAGTATGACGTTATACGTTACCCATAGTAACTAGAATGGCATTAGATTATTCAATTAGATTCATACTTTATATTTTATATATTTTTATACTTTAACTCCTCTACTTTTCACAGGACTGTGGTTTTTGTACAACTGTCTTTTAAAGTGTCATGTAGCTACACCTGCACAATGTCAATATAATGGCCCTACTGTAAATCCTCTCTGTTAAACTCTGTGGTTTGTTTTTTTGACGCTGTCAGGAAGGCGTTTCACACGTTTCACACTGTGGTTGTTTTTATGTTTGAGTTGGACAGCACCTCCCAAACAGGTTACAACCACAAATAAAAATGTCATTACATTTAAAACGAAAATAAAAATAAGATAAATAAATAAACTATAATAATAAAAAAAAATGTCTCGTGTGTTGGTTTGGTTGCTTTGCACTAGATTGCACAGCTGTAATAATAAAACAGGTGACACAGTGTAGGCTACTTTTATGACTTATGACTTTTATGACATTGTGCACAATGCA